GGCAAGGACACCAGTCACAAGAGGCTTTGCCGCTTGCGACAGTCTCGTCCCCAGAGACCGGTGCCTCTTGTATCGTTGTCCTGGGAGGGTGGGCGGACCCATGGGGCGAATCGCCGTGCCTAGAACCTGGCGTCGTTGCCTTGTTTATCACATCGCCATCCGCGCGCTGCTTACGCTTGCGCATCCTCTGCCATTGTCGTGATCAGTGCCCACCTAGGGTCTGTATTTCGTCGGGGTCCCGAGCGCCGTTGTCCATCTTGGCAAAATCCATCGCGTCGGTGGTGAGGTTTGCAGCAATCCTGTAGCAGAAGGAGGAGAGGAAAAGACAAGAAGACGAAGATGATACCACACACACACACACACACACCACATTCCGACATCATTGCCTACGGACTATGCTTCTCTTGCCAAGCCTGGCCAAACGAAAGCGTGTTGCGAACAGGTCGAGGCCCTGGTAGGCCTCCGGAGGCCCCAAACAGACCCAAACCAATCGAGATTTCAAAACAAGCCTTCCTCCTTGATTTTCCTCTTCCACCACCTGCTCCACCATACCTCCTCGTCAACAGCAATTCCTGTTGGTGGCACCACTAGACGTGCTGCCAGGGAGGACTGGGCATTTCGCCGAAGACTTCCACGCACCCTTCCATTCCGAAGAAAATTCAGACAGGCACGCACATGGAGGGCAGATCGTTTTCAACATGTGATTATTTCCTTGGCGCCGCAATTATACGTATGTAAGACAGGCCCGATTTCCAAATGTGGATATATCCTCAGCGCTGCGCGCCTTAGAACACATTCCCACACGCCCACACGCACACGGTTGGATGGCAGGCCGTTCCCCAAATGCGGTTCTCTCCCAAACGTCGAACATGTCCACGCGGGCGCGCATGAAAAGGAAAACCCGTCTTGAACATGCGGTTCTTGCTCCATAGCCGAAAACGTCGTGCTAAGCGCCTCCAACGCTTACGCGGAGGGTGGTGGTGGCTTGGAAACTCTCTGGCCGTGTGGCCCGAAGTGTGATGCGCGTAGCAGCAGCCACACGGACTGGTGGCGGCTCCTGCTCAACACGCGGCTCCCGTTTGGGCTTTCCCGAGTCAAGTCCCAATGCTCCAGCTTCGATAGGCAATTCGGCAAGCGACCGCCGATCGTGCCCAGCGATCACGTCGGCGTTTTCGCTGGGCGCTTGCCAGCTATCGATGGTCGTACACCTTGGCGTCTCCTATAGCTTCGCTTTCCACGCGGGGCCCTCGCCTGAATGGCGGGCCCATGAGCGGCGCTCGTCTTTTCAAGGGGGCTCCTCGTACGTAGGAAACGAGTACTTGTTGATAGTTGTGGGCCGCATTCTCCTCCCACTCCTTCCCCTCGGGAGGTAGTCGGAGGTCTGTGGAAGTCCCCCTGGGGTCCCGTGGTGCCTCCAGGCCGCAGGAGCTCGGGTGGCCTCTGGCATCTCCTGGAGGGTCCGACAGCAAGGGGGGCAGCACATGCGCGAAGGTCTCGATCATGGATCCTCCTCCTTCTCCTCCTCCTCCTCCTCCTCCTCCTCCTGCTCCCTCTGGCGCTCGTGCCTCCCAACAGGCTGGAAAAGAAGAAAACGGCCGAAGGGTAGAGGTATGGGTACCTGATCCTCCTCTACACCCGTCGTCCTCCTCCTCCTCCTCCTCCTTCTCCTCCTCAACGTCCTCGTCCTCCCAGTCTTCCTCCTCCTCCTCGTCCTCCTCCTCCTCCTCGTCCTCCTCCTCCTCCTCCTCCTCCTCCTGCTCCTGCTCCTCCTCCTCCTCCTCCTCCTCCTCATCCTCCTCCTCCCCCTCCTCCTCCCCGTCCTCCTCAACCCTTTCGCGTCCGAGCACCCCCCCTCGTACGGGGCGTGCGCCGGCGTGAACGAGCGCCGACTTCGGAATATGGCCTTGCGCTCGAGGGCCACGGGGAAGCGTGGCACCCAACACCGTCAGCTACGATGCTGAGATCAGGTGCGCGCGAGGCCGTCAGAACCTAGGCCTGATCGCGCCGTTAAAAAATCAGGACGGAAGGTTTTTGGCCAATTTCGGCCCCTGGGGGCCCTCGCCGGGCCTCGGGGCCGTCAAACAACGGCCAAGGACGAAAAACCGGTCCTGGGGAAAGGGTCGAGACTTCCAGGGACCCCGTGTTGAAAAAATGCGGACGTCGCATGTCTGGGGAGGAGTTCCCCTCCCCCGCTCCTTCCTCGCTCTCTGCCTCACCCCCCCTTCCCCTTCGCCCTCCGGGCGAACAGCGGCGCCGGCCCATAGGGGTGCCGGCGCACGAGTGCAGGACCGGCTCGCGCGACTGCATCGCGCAAGGCGAGAACGGGTGAAGCACCGCAAGCCAGTTCGCGCGGGAGAGGCCACCAGGCGAGGCGGACAGGCGGCAGGAGCGTAGACTAGCAACCGCAACGCTGGGGTCGGCTCATGCAGGAAGGCCAGCAGGCGAGAGCTACCCATCAACTGCAGTGCTGGAATCGGCTCATATGCGAAGGAAAGCAGTGGCGCTGGCGTGCTGTGGCACTCGGCACAGTGAGGAATTCGTGGGCGCTGACGCCCAGCTACAATACAATGCTGGGACCAGCTCGTGCGAGAAGGCAGCCAGTCGAGATCTACCCATCAGCTAGAAAGATGGGAAGGGTTCTCATGCGCGAAGGCGGACAATGGCACTGGCGTCACGTGTGCACCGCACGCAGACGTCATCCGCTACAGTGCTGGGGTGGGCGATGGAGCGAAAGGCGGGCAGTGGCAGCACCCGGCACTGGAAGACGAAGCTCGAGCCCGACGTCAGCTACAACGCTGTGCTCAGGGCGTGCGAGAAGGGCGAAAACAGGCAGGCTGCTCTGGCGTCGCCTGCCTGCGAGAAGCGGGAGGCGAACGTGGCGCCCGAGGTCGTACCCAACGAGACGTGGATGGCGATGCCAAGAGCCCGACATCATCAACTGCAGCGCTGGGATGAGGACGCGCGAGAAAGGCGAACTGCGGCAGGCGGCTCTGGCACTGCCGTGCCAGGGGCAGGGGGGCGCAGCTGGAGCCCGAACTCGTCGGAAACAGCGCCAGGAGCAGCGCCTGCGAGAGAGGCGAGAAGTAGCGGCAGTTCCCGTCGATACTTATCTGGGTATGGAAGGCGAAGCATGAGCCCGATCTCATCAACCACAGCGCTGATACCAGGGCGTGCGAGAAAGCAAACAGCGACCAGCGGCTCCACCGCCATCTTGCAAGAAGCTGGAAGCGAAAGTGGAGCCCGGTGTCGGGTTGCGAGAAGGCGGACGCTGGGGTGGATCATCAGCTACATGCAAAGATCAGCTCTGATGAGAAGCGTGGGAAAGGCATCATCAGCTACCATGCTGGGGTTCGCCTGTGCGCGGAACCGCTGAATTTCCGGGGACGTTGCTGGAACCATATTCTATCGGCTACAAGGTGGGCGCTCTTCCTGCCCGTCGCTAATTGAGGCCGCCCCACGTCGCCCAGGACAGACAATATGGTGAGCGCCCTGCTCTGGCGGCTCCATACTTCTCGTGGTGTGGAGTTGATCAGGCCGGCTGGATCCCAACGAAATCCTCCTCCTCCTCCTCCTCCTCCTCCTCCTCCTCCTCGCAAGCCCCGGGAGGTCGCGAGGCCAGCGAGGCCCCCGGAGCACTCGGCAACCACGCGCGTGCGCCGACTCTGGCCGCACCCGCAGGCGCGCCACCCGCCCGCGCCGCACTCGCCCGCCCGCGGCCGCTCCGCGGCGCAGCAGCAGCCAGCAACCGCAGCCGCAGCAGCCCAGCGACCGCCACCGCCCGGCCGCGCTCTGCTTGGAAGCTGGGCGAAGGGCTGGCACATCCGTGGCTGCTAAAAAGGCTTCCCCGGAAGAAGCAAACAAATTCCTGGAATCAAGCTCAGCGCACTAAATAGTAAACGGGCTGCTTCCCGGAAGAAAAAAAACATGTCCCGGAGCTCCGTTTTAGCAGCCACGGGTTTGCCAGTCTTCGCCCAGCTTCTGATCTGCGCAGCCCAGCAGCGCGCCAGAGCTGCTGCGCCAGCTCGCGCTGCAGGGCTCAGCTGAGCACCCAGCAGGCCCGCGCCAGCTCCTCGGGCTGCGCGCCCTCGGGGGCCTCTTACTCCTCCTCCTCCTCCTCCTCCTCCTCCTCCTCCTCCTCCTCCTCCTCCTCCTCCTCCTCCTCCTCCTTCCCTCCTCCTCCTCCTCCTCCTCCTCCTCCGCGCACCCCTCCTCTTGTACAACTCCGCCTCCTCATCGCCCTCACCCTTCCCCCTGCTCCCGCGTGCCGCTGCCCAGAGTCGCCCGCGTGTGCCCGAGACGAGTCCTGCCCCAGCCCTGGCCGACCCAGTTGAAGAGCCGGGGCTGATTGCGCGCGATGACGGAGAGGATCATCTGCTCGCTGAGGCAGCCTCCCCTTCCCTTCCCTTCCTCCTCCTCCTCCTCCTCCACCTCCTTGTCGTCGTCATCCTCAGCATCATCCTGCATCTTCTCTGGCTCAAATGAGACAGTCTCATCCTCTCATCTTGCTCTTCCTTCCCCGCCTCCTTCTTCCACTCCTCTGCGTCCCGCTGCCCTGCTGTGTTCCTCGGGATACGCCCCCCTTTCCCTCGCAGTCAAGCTACGTTTCAAGCACTCCTGTGCTGCTTCACGCGCGCTCCTCCGAGTCTCTGGGGCCGTGCCTCGGAACATACTCAGGCATTCCTGCTGCTCATGCCCTGTGCCCGCCAGGGAATGCCCGGGACCTGGCTGCCGCAAGTAGCTCGCCGAAGCCCCCAGCCCTCCAATGTCGTCGACAAAAACACTAAACGGGCACTTCTTCATTCCGGGCACCTGGAGGCCCGTTCGGGGCAGAAAGGCACAGAGCGCGAAGTTCATGCGAAGGACTGTGTCGAGAGCTCAGGGGGCCCGCGAATTGACAAGACTTTGAGGCGTCGGACGTCTTGACCCCCTTTCCACACACAGTGCAGAGGCGGAGTGCTTGGCCGTCCCCACCGTAGCCGCCGAAGGAGGCGTTGTCGCTCTCAATGTATACCCTGTCCCTGTGCTCCCAGTACTCGATGCACTCCTGGCGGTGCCCTCCCTGAGAGTCAGGGGTGGGACGCAGCAGCGCGCGTAGTTGTTCGGTGTGCATCACCCGGGCGCTCGGCCAAGGCCCCCAGATTGGCGTGTGCAGGCCGATCGGGTCGGCACTTCCTCCGCGGCGGGGGCTTAAGACCCATCGGGTCCTCCGCGGAGGGAGCCGAAGATCCATTGGGGATGTCTCCCACACTCTTGGAGCATTTCCGAAGGCGGCAGCGAACACTTGAGGGCAGAACCAGCTTTTCAAATGCAAGTCGCTGAATCCCAAAAAGGCTGGGCAGCCTGAAGCCACGGCGACTGCGGCAAACCAAGAACAGCCTGCAGAGGAACCAAGGCCAGGACTCCAAAATCTCGTGCCTGCTCCTGCGGTCAATCGGGCGAAACGCTACTGATGCCGCACGCACGCGTCATGCTGGAAATCAGGTCAACCTTGACACCAACGTGAACCGAATCAACTATACGCGAATTCGCGTCTGCGTCAGCCGGACGTTGAGCTAAAGGAGCTGTCCCATGATCTACGCGGGGGTGCTATTCTCTCTGCCGCACCCACACAATCATGCTGTGCACACGCACACACACATACACACATATACACATGCATGCATACATACATACATACATACATACATACATACATACGTACATACATAAACACCTACATACATACACACAGGCATGCACACATACCTACTCCAACCAACACACATACGTACATATATGCATACACACATACATGCATGCATGCATCCATACATACGTGCATACATATATACATACATACACACATACATACATGCAGACATACAAACATACATACAATCATGCACACACATACACACACCCAGTCCTACAGACATACGTGCATATTCACATATAGACATCCCTGCACACATGTATATATATATACACACGATCATACGTAACTGCACACATAAATGCATACATGCATGCGTGCATGCATTCATACATGCATACACAAACATACGTTATGCCTTCATGCATGCATACACACATATAGCATACATGCACGCACATACACATACAGTTATACACACATTCATGCACACATGCATCTATGCATACAGCCCCACATACATACACACATACATACACACATACATTCATACATGTATGCCTACATACACACATGTATACCCATAAACATACACACATACATTCGCACGTTCATGCACACACCATTTACCGACCTACATACCTACCTGTATACATACATACATGCATATATGTACCATACAGCGATGTATGCATACATGTATACATGTATACATACATACATACATACATACATGCATGCATGCATACATACATACATACATACACACATACACACGTACACACACATACACCCATACATACGTACAGACAAACCGAACGACAGACAGACAGACAGACAGACGGACAGGCAGACAGACAGACATACAGACAGACATATACATACATTTTGTTTGACGGGTGCCACGGTCTGCGAGGCACGGGTTGAAAAAGCGGAGGTCATAGCCCATCGCTCACCGCAGAGGCGAGTCAGTGTAGAGCGCCCAGTCACCCCATGCGGATCCCGTCAGGCCATCCTGATAGAACATGCCGATGATGGCCATCATTGCCAACCTACCATTCGCGATCTCCGAGTTCAGCTTGCGAGTCCGAGCCTCGCCCTCAGGCATGGTGCTGCCGTTGGGGACGCCGAGCACGCCCCCGTTTGCGAAATCGCCGGGCGCGCGCGTCGGGTCGTGCACGAAGACCGCCTTCTCGATGCAGCCGATGAAGAGGAAGATCTGCACCCACCCTGCGCCCGGCACCTTCGAGATAGCGGCCAGGCCGTTCGGGATGTCCTTGAACGCCAGGGCCTTGGACGGGGAGCAGTCGCCTGGCCATCTGTAGAACTCCGGTGTGATGTACCCAATGGCGGCGTACATGGCCACGCGGCCGTGCTTCAGCTCGGTGGCGCGCCTGCGCTTGAACGCCTCCACGTCGCCGTCCGCGCACATGCCCAGCGGGTCCCAGAAGCCAAAGGGCGCCTGAGCGCCCAGCTCGCTCTCGAAGGCGCGCAGCGGAGAGTCCGTGTAGAGCGCCCAGTCGCCCCACGCAGAGCCGGTCAGGCCGTCCTGGAAAAACATGCCGATGATGGCCATCATCGCCAATCGGCCGTTGGCGATTTCGGCATTGAGCCGGCGCTTCCTGGTCTCGGGATCGGCGCTTGTCAGCAGGGGAGGCTTCCAGCCCACGTTGCCGGGCTCCGTCTTCGCGTCTTCGTCGTAGCCCTGCTGGATCTCGCAAAAGGCGAACCATGAGGCGATCTGGAGCCAACCCAGCCCGGGGACCTTGGAAATGGCAGCCAGGCCGTTCGGGACGTCGGCAAACTTCAGCCCCTCGGACTTGCTGAGGTAGCCTGGCCACTTTCCAGCCACCTCTGGCGTAATGTAGCCCATAGTGGCCATCATGCAGATCCGGCCGTGCTTAATTTCGACGGAGCGGCGGCGCTTGAAGGACATGACGTCACCGTCCGAGGACAGGCCCAGCGGGTCCCAGAAGCCAAGGGGGGCCTGCACGCCGAGCTCGCTCTCAAAGGCGCGCAGGGGGGAGCCCGTGTAGAGCGCCCAGTCGCCCCACGCGCTGCCGGTCAAGCCGTCTTGGAAGAACATCCCAATGATGGCCATCATGGCGAGACGACCGTTGGCGATCTCGGCAGCAAGCTTCTTCTGCCTCTCTGCAGGGTCGCTGGAGGTCAGCAGCTTGAAGCCGAACTCTCCGCGGGAGGCGGGAGAGCCTGGGATCGTCTGGTCCTGCGAGATCTCCACGTACGCGCAGTACAGGAACATCTGCCCCCACCCCGCCAAGGGGACCTTGGAGAGCGCACCCAGCCCGTTCGGGATGTCCGCGTACTTCAGGCCAGTGCTCGGGGAGAGGTAGCCAGGGAAGGGTCCGATCAGCTGGGGGGTGATGTAGCCCATGGCCGCCAGCATCGCGACGCGGCCGTGCTTGATCTCGGTGGCGCGCCTGCGGGCGAAGTCCGCCGCGCTGCCGTCGGCGGTGAACCCCGCGGGGTCCCAGAAGCCGGCGGGGGGCTGCACGCCCAACTCGTTCTCGAAGGCGCGCAGCGGAGAGCCCGTGTAGAGCGCCCAGTCGCCCCACGCAGAGCCGGTCAGGCCGTCCTGAAAAAACATTCCGATGATCGCCATCATGGCCAGGCGGCCGTTGGCGATCTCCGCCGCAAGCTTCTTCTGCTTCTCCGCGGCGTCGGTGGACGTCAGCACCTTGAAGCCGAAGTCACCCGCCGCGGCGGCGGTGCCAGCGGACTGGTCCTGCGACAGCTCGCAGAAAGCGCCGTACGCCACGATCTGCGCCCAGCCCGCCGCGGGAACCTTGGAGATCGCACCGAGGCCGTTCGGGACGTCCGCAAACTTGAGCCCTGCGCTAGGCGACAGATAGCCCGGCAGCTTGCCGGTGATCTCCGGGGTGATGTAGCCCATGGTCGCCAGCATCGACACGCGGCCGTGCTTCAACTCAGTCTGGCGGCGGCGGGCGAAATTCTCAGTGCTACCATCCGCTGTGAATCCGGCGGGATCCCAGAAGCCAACCGGATCCTGCACGCCGAGCTCGCTCTCAAAGGCGCGCAAGGGGGAGCCCGTGTAGAGCGCCCAGTCGCCCCACGCGCTGCCGGTCAAGCCGTCTTGGAAGAACATCCCAATGATGGCCATCATGGCGAGACGACCGTTGGCGATCTCGGCAGCAAGCTTCTTCTGCCTCTCTGCAGGGTCGCTGGAGGTCAGCAGCTTGAAGCCGAACTCTCCGCGGGAGGCGGGAGAGCCTGGGATCGTCTGGTCCTGCGAGATCTCCACGTACGCGCAGTACAGGAACATCTGCCCCCACCCCGCCAAGGGGACCTTGGAGAGCGCACCCAGCCCGTTCGGGATGTCCGCGTACTTCAGGCCAGTGCTCGGGGAGAGGTAGCCAGGGAAGGGTCCGATCAGCTGGGGGGTGATGTAGCCCATGGCCGCCAGCATCGCGACGCGGCCGTGCTTGATCTCGGTGGCGCGCCTGCGGGCGAAGTCCGCCGCGCTGCCGTCGGCGGTGAACCCCGCGGGGTCCCAGAAGCCGGCGGGGGGCTGCACGCCCAACTCGTTCTCGAAGGCGCGCAGCGGAGAGCCCGTGTAGAGCGCCCAGTCGCCCCACGCAGAGCCGGTCAGGCCGTCCTGAAAAAACATTCCGATGATCGCCATCATGGCCAGGCGGCCGTTGGCGATCTCCGCCGCAAGCTTCTTCTGCTTCTCCGCGGCGTCGCTGGACGTCAGCACCTTGAAGCCGAAGTCACCCGCCGCGGCGGCGGTGCCAGCGGACTGGTCCTGCGACAGCTCGCAGAAAGCGCCGTACGCCACGATCTGCGCCCAGCCCGCCGCGGGAACCTTGGAGATCGCACCGAGGCCGTTCGGGACGTCCGCAAACTTGAGCCCTGCGCTAGGCGACAGATAGCCTGGCAGCTTTCCGGTGATCTCCGGGGTGATGTAGCCCATGGTCGCCAGCATCGACACGCGGCCGTGCTTCAACTCAGTCTGGCGGCGGCGGGCGAAATTCTCCGTGCTACCATCCGCTGTGAATCCGGCGGGATCCCAGAAGCCAACCGGATCCTGCACGCCGAGCTCGCTCTCGAAGGCGGCCGGGGGCACCCACATCTCGATGCCCGTGCCTCCCGCGACACCCTCTTGAAGGACCATGCCGGTAATTGCTACCATGGCTAGGCGCCCGTTCGCGATTTCAGCGTTCAAGGAGCGCTGTTTCTTCTCTGGATCCATCACTGGCCCGAACATGCCCAGGAAGCCCTTGCCGTAGTCGCCAGCAGGGCCGCTCTTCCACTCCTCGATGCCCCTGTCGCCCCCGAGACCAAACTCGATCAGCGCCGCAGACAGAAAGATCTGCAAAAGCCCGCCGCTGGGGATCTTAGTGGCCGCCTGCACTCCCATGGGAATGTCCGCGAAGTGGATGCCTTTCGAGGGGGACAAGTCGCCAGGCAGCGTGCCGTAGAAGGGGGCGATGTAACCGATGGTGGCCATCATGGACAAACGACCGTGCTTTATTTCGCAAGAGCGCAGCCGCTTGAACTCCTGCTCGGTGATGCCGTCGCAGAAGCCAGCGGGGTCCCAGAAACCGGTGGGCGCCTGCACGCCCAGCTCACTCATGGCGCTCCACTTCTTCGGCGCCTCCACCCCGTCCGGCAGCGTGAAGCGAGCCTTGCCAGACTCATAATTGACCACCCCTGCGCGCAGCGGAGAGCCCGTGTAGAGCGCCCAGTCGCCCCACGCAGAGCCGGTCAGGCCGTCCTGAAAAAACATTCCGATGATCGCCATCATGGCCAGGCGCCGTTGGCGATCTCCGCCGCAAGCTTCTTCTGCTTCTCCGCGGCGTCGGTGGACGTCAGCACCTTGAAGCCGAAGTCACCCGCCGCGGCGGCGGTGCCAGCGGACTGGTCCTGCGACAGCTCGCAGAAAGCGCCGTACGCCACGATCTGCGCCCAGCCCGCCGCGGGAACCTTGGAGATCGCACCGAGGCCGTTCGGGACGTCCGCAAACTTGAGCCCTGCGCTAGGCGACAGATAGCCCGGCAGCTTGCCGGTGATCTCCGGGGTGATGTAGCCCATGGTCGCCAGCATCGACACGCGGCCGTGCTTCAACTCAGTCTGGCGGCGGCGGGCGAAATTCTCCGTGCTACCATCCGCTGTGAATCCGGCGGGATCCCAGAAGCCAACCGGATCCTGCACGCCGAGCTCGCTCTCAAAGGCGCGCAAGGGGGAGCCCGTGTAGAGCGCCCAGTCGCCCCACGCGCTGCCGGTCAAGCCGTCTTGGAAGAACATCCCAATGATGGCCATCATGGCGAGACGACCGTTGGCGATCTCGGCAGCAAGCTTCTCTGCCTCTCTGCAGGGTCGCTGGAGGTCAGCAGCTTGAAGCCGAACTCTCCGCGGGAGGCGGGAGAGCCTGGGATCGTCTGGTCCTGCGAGATCTCCACGTACGCGCAGTCAGGAACATCTCCCCACCCCGCCAAGGGGACCTTGGAGAGCGCACCCAGCCCGTTCGGGATGTCCGCGTACTTCAGGCCAGTGCTCGGGGAGAGGTAGCCAGGGAAGGGTCCGATCAGCTGGGGGGTGATGTAGCCCATGGCCGCCAGCATCGCGACGCGGCCGTGCTTGATCTCGGTGGCGCGCCTGCGGGCGAAGTCCGCCGCGCTGCCGTCGGCGGTGAACCCCGCGGGGTCCCAGAAGCCGGCGGGGGGCTGCACGCCCAACTCGTTCTCGAAGGCGCGCAGCGGAGAGCCCGTGTAGAGCGCCCAGTCGCCCCACGCAGAGCCGGTCAGGCCGTCCTGAAAAAACATTCCGATGATCGCCATCATGGCCAGGCGGCCGTTGGCGATCTCCGCCGCAAGCTTCTTCTGCTTCTCCGCGGCGTCGGTGGACGTCAGCACCTTGAAGCCGAAGTCACCCGCCGCGGCGGCGGTGCCAGCGGACTGGTCCTGCGACAGCTCGCAGAAAGCGCCGTACGCCACGATCTGCGCCCAGCCCGCCGCGGGAACCTTGGAGATCGCACCGAGGCCGTTCGGGACGTCCGCAAACTTGAGCCCTGCGCTAGGCGACAGATAGCCTGGCAGCTTTCCGGTGATCTCCGGGGTGATGTAGCCCATGGTCGCCAGCATCGACACGCGGCCGTGCTTCAACTCAGTCTGGCGGCGACGGGCGAAATTCTCCGTGCTACCATCCGCTGTGAATCCGGCGGGATCCCAGAAGCCAACCGGATCCTGCACGCCGAGCTCGCTCTCGAAGGCGGCCGGGGGCACCCACATCTCGATGCCCGTGCCTCCCGCGACACCCTCTTGAAGGACCATGCCGGTAATTGCTACCATGGCTAGGCGCCCGTTCGCGATTTCAGCGTTCAAGGAGCGCTGTTTCTTCTCTGGATCCATCACTGGCCCGAACATGCCCAGGAAGCCCTTGCCGTAGTCGCCAGCAGGGCCGCTCTTCCACTCCTCGATGCCCCTGTCGCCCCCGAGACCAAACTCGATCAGCGCCGCAGACAGAAAGATCTGCAAAAGCCCGCCGCTGGGGATCTTAGTGGCCGCCTGCACTCCCATGGGAATGTCCGCGAAGTGGATGCCTTTCGAGGGGGACAAGTCGCCAGGCAGCGTGCCGTAGAAGGGGGCGATGTAACCGATGGTGGCCATCATGGACAAACGACCGTGCTTTATTTCGCAAGAGCGCAGCCGCTTGAACTCCTGCTCGGTGATGCCGTCGCAGAAGCCAGCGGGGTCCCAGAAACCGGTGGGCGCCTGCACGCCCAGCTCACTCATGGCGCTCCACTTCTTCGGCGCCTCCACCCCGTCCGGCAGCGTGAAGCGAGCCTTGCCAGACTCATAATTGACCACCCCTGCGCGCAGCGGAGAGCCCGTGTAGAGCGCCCAGTCGCCCCACGCAGAGCCGGTCAGGCCGTCCTGAAAAAACATTCCGATGATCGCCATCATGGCCAGGCGTCCGTTGGCGATCTCCGCCGCAAGCTTCTTCTGCTTCTCCGCGGCGTCGGTGGACGTCAGCACCTTGAAGCCGAAGTCACCCGCCGCGGCGGCGGTGCCAGCGGACTGGTCCTGCGACAGCTCGCAGAAAGCGCCGTACGCCACGATCTGCGCCCAGCCCGCCGCGGGAACCTTGGAGATCGCACCGAGGCCGTTCGGGACGTCCGCAAACTTGAGCCCTGCGCTAGGCGACAGGTAGCCCGGCAGCTTGCCGGTGATCTCCGGGGTGATGTAGCCCATGGTCGCCAGCATCGACACGCGGCCGTGCTTCAACTCAGTCTGGCGGCGGCGGGCGAAATTCTCCGTGCTACCATCCGCTGTGAATCCGGCGGGATCCCAGAAGCCAACCGGATCCTGCACGCCGAGCTCGCTCTCAAAGGCGCGCAGGGGGGAGCCCGTGTAGAGCGCCCAGTCGCCCCACGCGCTGCCGGTCAAGCCGTCTTGGAAGAACATCCCAATGATGGCCATCATGGCGAGACGACCGTTGGCGATCTCGGCAGCAAGCTTCTTCTGCCTCTCTGCAGGGTCGCTGGAGGTCAGCAGCTTGAAGCCGAACTCTCCGCGGGAGGCGGGAGAGCCTGGGATCGTCTGGTCCTGCGAGATCTCCACGTACGCGCAGTACAGGAACATCTGCCCCCACCCCGCCAAGGGGACCTTGGAGAGCGCACCCAGCCCGTTCGGGATGTCCGCGTACTTCAGGCCAGTGCTCGGGGAGAGGTAGCCAGGGAAGGGTCCGATCAGCTGGGGGGTGATGTAGCCCATGGCCGCCAGCATCGCGACGCGGCCGTGCTTGATCTCGGTGGCGCGCCTGCGGGCGAAGTCCGCCGCGCTGCCGTCGGCGGTGAACCCCGCGGGGTCCCAGAAGCCGGCGGGGGGCTGCACGCCCAACTCGTTCTCGAAGGCGCGCAGCGGAGAGCCCGTGTAGAGCGCCCAGTCGCCCCACGCAGAGCCGGTCAGGCCGTCCTGAAAAAACATTCCGATGATCGCCATCATGGCCAGGCGGCCGTTGGCGATCTCCGCCGCAAGCTTCTTCTGCTTCTCCGCGGCGTCGCTGGACGTCAGCACCTTGAAGCCGAAGTCACCCGCCGCGGCGGCGGTGCCAGCGGACTGGTCCTGCGACAGCTCGCAGAAAGCGCCGTACGCCACGATCTGCGCCCAGCCCGCCGCGGGAACCTTGGAGATCGCACCGAGGCCGTTCGGGACGTCCGCAAACTTGAGCCCTGCGCTAGGCGACAGATAGCCTGGCAGCTTTCCGGTGATCTCCGGGGTGATGTAGCCCATGGTCGCCAGCATCGACACGCGGCCGTGCTTCAACTCAGTCTGGCGGCGACGGGCGAAATTCTCCGTGCTACCATCCGCTGTGAATCCGGCGGGATCCCAGAAGCCAACCGGATCCTGCACGCCGAGCTCGCTCTCGAAGGCGGCCGGGGGCACCCACATCTCGATGCCCGTGCCTCCCGCGACACCCTCTTGAAGGACCATGCCGGTAATTGCTACCATGGCTAGGCGCCCGTTCGCGATTTCAGCGTTCAAGGAGCGCTGTTTCTTCTCTGGATCCATCACTGGCCCGAACATGCCCAGGAAGCCCTTGCCGTAGTCGCCAGCAGGGCCGCTCTTCCACTCCTCGATGCCCCTGTCGCCCCCGAGACCAAACTCGATCAGCGCCGCAAACAGAAAGATCTGCAAAAGCCCGCCGCTGGGGATCTTAGTGGCCGCCTGCACTCCCATGGGAATGTCCGCGAAGTGGATGCCTTTCGAGGGGGACAAGTCGCCAGGCAGCGTGCCGTAGAAGGGGGCGATGTAACCGATGGTGGCCATCATGGACAAACGACCGTGCTTTATTTCGCAAGAGCGCAGCCGCTTGAACTCCTGCTCGGTGATGCCGTCGCAGAAGCCAGCGGGGTCCCAGAAACCGGTGGGCGCCTGCACGCCCAGCTCACTCATGGCGCTCCACTTCTTCGGCGCCTCCACCCCGTCCGGCAGCGTGAAGCGAGCCTTGCCAGACTCATAATTGACCACCCCTGCGCGCAGCGGAGAGCCCGTGTAGAGCGCCCAGTCGCCCCACGCAGAGCCGGTCAGGCCGTCCTGAAAAAACATTCCGATGATCGCCATCATGGCCAGGCGTCCGTTGGCGATCTCCGCCGCAAGCTTCTTCTGCTTCTCCGCGGCGTCGGTGGACGTCAGCACCTTGAAGCCGAAGTCACCCGCCGCGGCGGCGGTGCCAGCGGACTGGTCCTGCGACAGCTCGCAGAAAGCGCCGTACGCCACGATCTGCGCCCAGCCCGCCGCGGGAACCTTGGAGATCGCACCGAGGCCGTTCGGGACGTCCGCAAACTTGAGCCCTGCGCTAGGCGACAGGTAGCCCGGCAGCTTGCCGGTGATCTCCGGGGTGATGTAGCCCATGGTCGCCAGCATCGACACGCGGCCGTGCTTCAACTCAGTCTGGCGGCGGCGGGCGAAATTCTCCGTGCTACCATCCGCTGTGAATCCGGCGGGATCC